CCACTGGAACACTGCAGCCGATGGCTCGGGGAAGGGCGGCAGTCCTCGCGAAATGCGCCTGCACCCAGACGACGTTCACATGGGATGGAGCTCTTTCACCAGTACCGGCGGTCAATTCGCTTACACTGGCCGCCTCAATTTCAACGCTGAGCCAACTGTGGGCGAACCACTTGCCCCTCGCTATGATCTCGTCGACGTGAATTTGCTCTTCGACCCTACGCGCGCGAACCCCATCACAACCAATGGCTCCGAACTCATCATCCACAACAATGCTATCGCCGTTGGCGAGCTGCGCGGTTTCAGCGGAAACGGCGAAGAGATCACCTATATTGGCAACCCCGTTGAGTCAACCAACATCGACGTCTTCGCCGTACATGTACAGACGGGCGCCGTCCGCCGCCTCACTAGCCACCCAGAATACGTGGATCCCATGGCCTTCTCTGCCGATAACGACTGGTTCGTTGCCATGGACACGCGAGGTACGAACCGCCAGATGTGGATGTCTGGCATGCGTGGGATCCCGCCCCTGATCGACGTCGTTGCTGTGACTGTGGCCGCCTCCACTCGCAACAACGGCCCCCGTCGCTTCTTCCAGCCAATCTTAATCGATCGCTACGGCGATCGCGGCGACTATTATGGTCAGCGGATCAATGCTGCGGGGGTCGAGAGCGGCGGTGCCATCAACGACCCGAACTGGAATGGCAGAGCGGACCCGGCCTTCTCCTTGGACGGAACAAAGATTACGTACTGGCAGGCTCTCGTGGTCTCCCCTTCATGTGGCGGTGCGAATCCCCTTCCTTGTCCCGAGTCTACGGCCCAAGGAGGCAGGGAGTATCGCGTGATGTTGGCTCAACGGATTGGTCGCGAGGCTACCGCGCCTGCGCCAATTTACAAGATTCCGGACGTGATCCCTTGGGCCACGCCATTTCCTCCGGGCACAGCTATCCCGGAGTCGCCGTTCAGGGTCGAGCCAGGCAACTATACACTCCGTGGGAAGGTTTCTGGTATTGCTGGTGTAAGCATTGCCCCGGACTCTACTAATGTGAGCGGGCTGGGCAGCGTTGCAGTGAACTACACCAACTACTCGGATGATGGGGAGCACATCCTGAATGGCTTTGAGGACGTCACGGTGAAGATTCTTCTCCCCAATTTCTGGACGAATCAGGTTGACTGGGTTTCTGATATTGTTCAGACTGGGGTGGTCAATGGGACTAAGAAGACTAGCGAGGGGGGATTTCACTTGATTATTGACGCGGAGCTGAACTTATTCAACGCGAGTGGGACTTTGGTCACCACCATCGATGGTGTTGAGTATAAGCAGCCTGCTAACGGTACTTGATCATGGAGTATGTTGTGCAAGAGGTGACATGTACTTTGGGATGGCGGGTTTATCAAGTACCTTAAATCACGTCTTCTCTTGCAAGTCGACTTTCAAATGACACCATTGTTCTGATTAATCAAATCAATTGCACCTTTCAGAAATCTGATCTTCCTTCTCCTTACCTGATATGCGAGTACTTGAGGGTACATGTAGACACCATCAACACACTCTCAAAATTTCAAGAGGAAATGTCTTCGCCATCCCCCTCTCGTAAACTTGACAACTTCAGTTCGACCTATGTCATCCAGTGTCCTAGTCCTTGCATCCTCATCAATGACCATGGTGCCATTCCCGGTTACTCGGGTAGTCTTTCCTCAAAGCACCCAACAGTCACCCAATTCCTGTCCATCTTTTGTAGAATTTTCGTACATTTTTTCGTACTCTCATCCAATGAGAGATATAGACGTTTACTAGCCCCAACCACCACGTCGCATTGCATCGGAGGTCGTTACTGCATAGTAAAGCGTAGATGACGGCAGCCCAATGGGAAAGCCCTGTGTACGGCATACGGAAGATACGAACAGTCTCCAAGCTTGACATCAATCGTGTCAACTTCCCAATTCATAAAGGATTATGCGTGCTTGTCCCAGTACTAATTAGCGATAGCTTCGGTATCCTCCGTACTTGTTTATAGTCCGAAGCCTCGGAACGCCCATCTTGGGTAAGTCCCCCCCCCCCCCCAAAAGTAACCTAGATTATCCCCGTGGGGTCCTCGCGGGGTCCCATACCCCGGATCGTTCGTCATGAGAAGGCTTGGGAAAATAGACAACGAGCAGCGGACCCACAATACGAATGCGAGCAAATGTCCATGGTAGCGGACAGAAGTGTCCATTCTTTGGGCAAGTCCATCACACTATTGTATACGAAGGTCTTTGGTGAGCTGGACACAAGACGTTGTTTGCAGACTGTTCCGATAGGTCTAGACCACCACCGTCTCGACGAAAATCGATTCGTTTCGTGACAACACGTGCCGATGTGTCAAGATAAAAACCAAGCCAGATTCCGAAATAGAATAGCAATCATCATACCAAAAAGTTAGTAGCCATACTCTTTTCTGGTTTTGCCCTTTATCCTGTGCAGTAATGGCATCTCCACGTGGAACTCCCAAGAAGCCGGTCGACAACGTGGCCTACGTTGAAGACCCGGCGGATGATGGCCTGAAATTCAGCGACGCAGCTGTCGACGCGGCGACCCGCGGCCAAAACATTTCGGGATACGAGTCTCTATCCATATGGGAGACGGTCAAGCTCTTCAAGATCGCCTCAGCTGCGTGCTTCGCGGCGGCCTTCAGCGCCGCCACTGATGGCTATCAAATCGGGTACGCTTCACACTTTGCTCCTCCTCGCGCATCCATTGTGCCCCAATCTCTAGTTTACATTGCTAACCCCGTCACTCCACCCACATCCAGCATGAACGCCAGCATCGTAGCAAATAAGGGCTTTGTCCACCAATTCGCGACCCTTGCCGACGCCTCTGGAAAACCTTACCTTGACTCCCCCATCCTCTCGGGCTGGTCCTCCATCATGTCCGTCGGCCAGGTCCTTGGCATGACCACCATCCCCTTTCTCTCCTCTCGATTCGGCCGGAAGGTTGCCATGTATACCCTCTGGCTTGTCCTCGCCGTCAGCGTCGCCGTCGAGAGCGTCGCGCGCGCTTGGCCCGCCTGGCTCGTGGCAAAGCTCCTTGCCGGCGTCGGCGTCGGCTGCCTGCAGTCGACCCTCCCCGTCTACATCGCCGAGGTCGCACCTGTTCGGATCCGCGGCGGCCTGCTCATGTGCTACTCCTTCTGGTGGACCGTTGGCACCTTCTGCGCCCACGTCGCGCTACAGAACCTGAACAAGAACGACCCATATAACTACTTGAACCCTATATACACGCAATGGGCGCAAATTGGCCTCATGATCCTCATCTACGTCTTTCTACCCGAATCTCCAGCTTGGTGCGTCAATCGTGGCGATGAGTCGCGCGCAAAGAAGTGTCTCGCCTGGTTATATCGCGGCGTTCCCGATTTCGATCTCGACCGACAGTACGCAACGTTGCTGATGACGGTGGAGCACGAGCGTTCCGTAGCGATGGAGCAGAAACGCGAGAAGTGGACGGCGATATTCCGAGGCACCGACGGACTGCGGACGCTGATCTCCCTCTGGACAAACCTGTCGCAACAGTTTATCGGCCTCACACTGTTTGCGACCTTTGGGACATATTTCTTTCAGCAGGCGGGGCTACAGGACCCGTTCCTTATCAAGGTCATCACATCGTCGATCAACATTGCCACAATTATCGTGACTATTTTCACGGCTGATTGGCTTGGTAGACGGTGGATCGCGTGCGGAGGCATCACGCTGTGCTGGGTCTCTTGCGCAGTCATCGGCATCATCGGCGTGATAAAGCAGGTCAGGGCGTCGACATATGTATTCGTGCTGTTCGCCTGCTTTTGGAGTAAGTTTTCGTCGTACAATTCATCAAAAAGGGGCGGACTTTATGATCAATGTACACGTGCCTGCTAACAAGATTGTTTTTGAAGATATTGGCATGACGGCTAGCGGGGCGGCCGGTTGGGGATTCATCGGCGAGATCTCGTCGCAGCGGCTACGCCCCCACACAGCCGGCTTCGGTGCCGCCTGTACCTGTGTCATTGGTATCGTCATGAATGTTCTAGTGCCTTACAGTACGTTGATTAACTCCGAGACGAAGGGGTACTCGATAGAAGAAGTGCTGACAATATGATCTAGTGGTCAACGCCAATAAGTGGAACTGGGGTCTCAAAACAGGCTGGTTCTATGCTGGCGTTGGGCTGCCTTTCGTGATTGGCATCTGGTTCCTTATCCCCGATACCGCCGGGTAGACAATCCATCCTACACATTTTGCCAAAAGAGCCACTTGCTAATACAAGCTCTTTTGCAGACGATCCGCAGCCGAGCTGGACGAGCTCTTTGAAAGAAAGATCAAACCGTGGCAGTTCCACAAGATTCAGACGGCCACACAGACTTTGGTCAAGCAACAGGAGTCGGAGCATCGCTGATTTAATATGCTGCCGCAAGTCGCGCAACTACAGTGGGCAGCATGTGAGGGGTATTTCATCTTGGGAAAAAGCCAAATTCGTGGAAGTAACGGCTTTACAGTCAGCCATGTAGCAGTCAGTCTTGTTTCCCCACTATATGCTGTTGAATCGGACTTCTGTGCTCTTGGTCTTCCCTACGGATCACTGTTCTTGAGCACTCTTGTCGCATTCCCTCTAAAATTAGCCAAAGTGGAACGCTAAATAGAAATATACCCGTATAACTTACCTTATCCGAGGATATTATGTGGTAGATACGTCGCTTTATTCGAATCATAGATTAAGCCCGCCACCGAGGTGATACGTAAAACCTATCCAGCTAGACGACTCGTATCCATACCTAATAGCCAACTATCTCGGCCATGGTGTCAAATAATGGCCGCGACCAGCGCCTAGATACTTGATAGGATATTTTTCGAAACTCTAATTAGCAGTGGTGCAGATTTTGTAATGGAAGATGAAGGAAAGAAGTCACCTCTTCATTGGGCTGTAGAGTAGGGCCACGAGGGCTGCGTCGAAATACTCCTGACTCATGATGCCGCAATGGAGTCAAAAGACGAGATGCAGAGGACACCCCTTCACTGGGCCTCTAAATCAGGAAAACTCGACTGCGTACGAAAGCTTCTTGACAAAGGCGCTGATGTGGAACCAAGAGATCGCGATGGTATGGCGGCGCTTCATTTTGCTGCCGAGTCGGACTACTTGGACGTCGTTGAGGCACTTCTCCAACAGGATTCGCACACCAACTCGGTGGCACACAAAAGACAGACACCATTGATGTTAGCGGCCAGAGCTGGTCAAAGAAACGTTCTTGAGGTTCTTGTTCAACATGGCGCCAAGTGTGGTTTACAAGGTGCAGAGGGCAGCACTGCCTTGGAACATGCTATCAGAGGGTGTCGTTCCGAGGTTATCCCTCACGTCATCAAGACTCTAGTCAGGTTGGGAGCTAAAGTGGATGCCCGCGGGAAAGCGGGACGTACACCTCTATTAGCCGCTGTTAGTGATAACCATATCGGACCTGCGCTCCCAGCTGTGAAGCAATTGCTTGATTGTGGCGTAGAACTTGAAGCCACAGACTTGCGAGACAGAATAGCATGGGAATTAGCTTCTTGTTGGGGCCGCGACAATCTAGCCGAATTTCTGCTATGGATCCGAAGATCGCGTAGGCTGCATGTTCCTGAATAGTACACATGGCCTCTTGAAAGTCAATTTTTGCAGCTAGCCGGATAAGGCCCGTCTCTGATATTCATCCTTCGTCGTAGTTGAGAAGTCAGTTACGGGGTGTTATCGAATCAAGTATATAGGCTTATGGTGTTTTCTGATGGAAAATCCGTATGCCACAGGAATAACCTTCGTTGCCGTGATCGTAACCCGTAGTTAAGCCGCCTGGTACGTTCGCAACACACCTTCACCCGCAGCTGGAACCGCGGACGTAGGCATGGTTCTGCTGACCACCTGCCGAGTTGCCATAAGCAGACCCTTGATAACTGCTCAGTAAACTACAGCTTGTGCTACTGCCCTGATAGAATGAAGCAGCGACACACGCTGAGTTTGCAGCACACTTCGAAATGCAATCACCCAAGCTTGTGGCATCGACGTAGCCAAGATAGTCTCCGGAGGCAAGCCTTCCGCAAATAATCTGGAACTTCTTCGAACTCAATGTCCAGCAGTAGCCGTTGTTTGCGGAGCAAGTTGGGTTGCTGGTCACCGTACCTGCGCATGCTGAGCCAGGGCAGGTTGAACACGTCCCTAGTGAAAAAGATGTCTGGCATCCAAAGCCACAGAAGTCGTCGCCGGTGTTGCAGTATCCATTCTTCGAGCTATAAGATGTCAGTGGTCTACTAATGCAGGAGTATAGGAAGAAGTATTGTCTACGACTTACCAACACAAGCCAGAAGGGCATGTATAGCCATTGGAGCCACCACAAGTGTTGTCTGGACTCATCTTGACGCCAGTGGATGCAGGCTGCGCTGCTGAAGAAGAGGCTGCAGCCCCTCCGCCTGAGGACGCAGAGCAGGTTCCAAAGGATGACTGGCAGCCGGTGCTGCAGTGATCGGTAGACGAGCCACAATATCCCCACTGACTGCAGCAGTCACCGAAGTTGCTACCTCGACACGTATTTCCACCTGTTCCACCGCAGGTTCCATCCTGGCTGACCGTCTTGCCACCGTTGGTGACGGAGCTGCAGTCACCAAACTTTGACTGGCAAGAGTTGAGGCAATGGGCATCTGTGTTGCCGCAATATCCCCACTGGCTGCAACAGGTTCCGAAAGTGCTTCCCTTACAGGTGTATCCCGCGGTGCCGCCACAGGTGCCATCCGAGCTGACCTTGCCGTTAGTGCTGGTGCTGCCGCTCCCGCTGCTGCTAGAACCAGTTGTGCATTTGCCAAACTTGGATTGACATCCTGTTCCGCAGTGTGCGTCAGTTGTTCCACTAGTATACCAGGTCAGCTTTGGTAATTCTTCGCAGTCTCGTCTATCATCATCGAGGTTAATCTTACCACCAGTTGTATTGACTGCAGCATTGAGATCCTGGACAGGTGTAACTGTTGGAACCTCCACAGGTCTGATCTGGAGAGGTGGCCGCTGCAGCGATCCCCGCCAAGGACAGCAGTTCAACAATGGCGATTTTAACCATTCTTCACAAGACGACAAATTATTGATGTTGATGGACCTTATAACAAAGAAAGCCGCGGTCTGCGTTGGGGGCTGATAGAATTGACGACAGTTCAGTCTGGATGACACGGTACTTAAACCTCCCAACTTTTGAGGCAGCCTCTAATTGGTGATTTTCGTGCTATTTGGGCGGTCATCGCTTGCGGATGCATGCGGCGGTCATGGGAACATTCCCAGGCTCTCTAGAGCGGATCTTCGATACGGAAATTTGGCTTCTACCTTTACTCCAGTCTGCACTCCATATGATCCGTTTCCGGTCATCATGGACCAGAGCTGGTCACTTCACCCGTCCAAAAAGAGCCGAGATGAATTCTTCGACCGGATCTGTCCGATCTATGCGGCCGGCCCGAGGAGATGGCATGGCTATCGTCTCCAAGATCGGATCTACAAAATTAGCGCTGCCGCTCACGCCGCTCTAGATTTCCGAGAATTTGACTTACCTTTAAGCGGAGCTACAGGGATGTGCGGGTGTAATCAGGTGTTGACTGAAAACGGAACAGATATCGAAAGTAACAAAATGGCTTCAGTCTAGATTACGTGCCGCAGAAATGGAAAAGATTAGCGCACTTGCGGTGATCGAATGGATGTTGCCGTCTGCCGATGTATGCAGTCATCCAGCCGGCTGGGTGCCTCGTGCCTGCGCGCTTCGTCTGATGACAAGCAGATGTCTCAAACCTTCTTCACTGTTGCTTTCTTCGGCTCAGCTTCAAGCCACCTCCACGCTTTGTTCAAATAAGGTTTGAGATTTCCACGTCGGTGTTCAACCTCATTTCCAACGTCAATGTCAATTTTTTTTTTCTTTGATCCTCTCCTAGTTGAGGGACGTTCTTCCCCCAAACACTTCTTCTCAGAATCCGAATACAAACAAGTCACGCTGTAGTTCTCCGGGGACTATCGCACCAAGTCTGGGGATTTCCAGGGCTCGACGGCGTGATCCAGGCCATGATAGGGCTGTGGTAAGCGGCTTAGTAGCGCTGGACCGTGCGACGGTGCTTTGGACAAGGCAAACATCTTCAGCGCTCAACTGAATCACGAATATTCTCAGTTTCCAACAAAAGCATTCCTCCTATCCCTGAAATAAGGCTGGCACTTCAGCTGTGAGAGGACTTGTGCGTGGAATGGTAAAATGCATCGGAGTTTGCTTGTATGCAGGATATCAAGTCGCGGGTCGATCGCTGCAGACGCGTTCTTGTTCTACGATCCATCTCTCTGCCAGAGAGTGTGATTACGCCGAACGTAAGTGATTGCTGAGTATGCGGCGAAATGTCCCCAGTGGATTGGAATACGAACCTGAAGAGTAACTCTAATATTATGAGGCACTCGTCAGCGCAACGCATGGCAAGGACACAGGATGGGATCCCTAGCAAGCTGATTGGCACCATATACATGAATCCCAAGGCGGAGATCCAACAATCGGAAGGGTGGCCGAGTTGGTTATGGCGCCAGGTTAAGGTCAGCTTAACATCTGTTTCCTGGTGGGGCAACCCGCGCGAGTTCGAGTCTCGTCCCTTTCATTTTGAAGTTTTTGACGGGTCTGACGACTTTTCGGTCTTGTACCATCAACGTCTTGCTGCTCCTGGTCGTTAGTCAAACCTTTTGTTACCAAGATAAGTGGAGGGCTCATATCTTATGCCATTGGAAAGTGTAAGGCCGATGTGAGTAGACCTTCTTTTGTTTCTTCCCACAAGGCGAAGTTGAGCGTTTGAAAAGGAAATTGGTCAGTCTCCAAATGGCGATTCCCATGTGCTAGTGGGTGGGCTTTATCACTGGAGCTTGATGTATTTGAGCTTGGGACTCAATCCACTTCGACAAACTTTTATTGCTGCCTAATAGGTCTTACCATGTCTGAATGAAGTTGGCTATCTCGATCTTTGGCCGTGCTTAGTCTCTATCAGGATCTCGGAGACATACTATGCCGCAGTCCTTGAGTATCAAACGCTACAAGATACCTTGAATTTTATCTCACATGATGATTCATCCCATGAGCCAAAAGCGCAGGATTTAAGTCCCGTCAAGCAGCACTATTCCCACGCAGTGAGGCATTAGACCTGCCAGACAGCGCTCAGCTACTGCATTCATCGGGAATGCCCAATTTTTGGCCATGTATGAAAATAAGAGGTGACTATTCCGATCTTTTCACATGGACCGTTAAACTTGCTGTTGGTGACCGAGCCATTCGTTCTGCTGGAGTATTTGGCTCAGCTAAGATTCTGTTTCGGAGTGAGTATTCCCCTCTCAATCCAATAGCGAGATGACTGCTAACACTCTCGAAAGGTGGGATTGGCCCGAAAGATCAGCTAGAGACTGCCCAGAAAACCGAAGCCGACGTATTCATCGACTCTACCCAGTGGATTGATCTTCCGGTCGGTCACAACCTCGACGACCATGTGAACGTAATACTTGCTTCAGCGTAGTATAATTAAGTTAATCCTCCTCAGACAAACATTCTCTTCGAGTACCCAGGCATAGCCAACTATGACTTCAATAGCACTTACGACAATCCCAGTCCGGATGGCGCTGCAGCATACCTATGTGAGATAACAGACCTCTCCATGCGAGATGGTTTGGCTTTATTGACTGATAGTAATCTTGCGGCCAACCGATCAGGCATACTGACCCAAGCAGCCCCAGACATCAACCCCATCTTTTGGGATGCGGTCAAAGGAGAGGATGGCATCGAAAGATGGTTTGAATGGACGAGCTATGTTGGCGGGCCGCATAAAGGCAAGACATACAGTGCGTAGCCATATTTCTGTTCTCAGATGATCATTACTGATAGCCACAGATACTTCTGGCATGGCAGCTGCCCTTGGACTCGGCAAGACTTCGAGTGGTCGCACCACAACCAACTCGTCCCTCATCATGAACGTCAGTGTGTTTTCTTACTTCAATGACGAAGGGGATCACGACTTTGAGACTGTTGTAACCACAGTCAGTGGAGTTGTCAAGGCAATTTCATCCATTCCTCGCGCTACAATGATCAACCCCGCCCCTAGTCAAGACGTGCGAGACTACGTCCAAAAGGTGAGTCAATCTTACTTTTCGCTCGGAAGTCGATATGAAAGCAAGTACGCTGAACATATTGTGTGAGTAGTTGTTTGTGGATATTGGCCGTACTGCCAATCACTGGGTTGGAACCACCCGTCTTGGAACCGACTCTGCTCTGGAAGGTGGTAAACCCGTCGTTGATCTCAACGCGCAAGTCTATGGAACGAAAAACCTGCACATTGTTGACGCAGGAATACTCAATGGGATTTTCACTGCGAATCCGCAAGCTGGAATTCTTATTGCTGCCTAGAAAGTAGCCAAAGAGATTATCAGATTGCATGGATAAACGAGCTTCCAGAGTTTCGGCAGCGTGTCTACATGTAGCGGTGGTGGAGATTTAAGAGGCTCGCTCGATTGTTTAAGGTTAAGGTATCCTGGCTTAGTATGTAAACCTCGGTAATTGTCGCCTGGCAGACAAGCTTTCTGACCCGACGGGCTACTCCGGACTGATTGCCTGCCTTCGTGGGTGACACTTTAATATCGTGCCGCGATTATGGCTCTCATCATCGTCTCCGTGATTCGTGAAGACTTGGAATTCGACGCAATCACGTCCAGGCAAGGATGGCCTCAGCACTTGAAGTTCATCGATCCCAGAAAACTCGTAGCCATACGCGCAGCTTGTACCCACGTCCGCGTTTCCACAGGCTTGTCTGGCAGCAGCTTAAGCCCCAGACTCAACCGGATCGCGGCACGAACGCCTGGAGCTCGAAAGTGACATCCTTAGCGCATTTGCAACTCATTTCCATGTTCAGATGACCTTCCTGTTTGGTGATCGTTCTTACATTCGTCCCCCAATCTCGGGACACGCATTCAGCCGCCCGGAAAAGCTTGAAATCTCTCGTACGGCTTACCAAGATGAATGATTCAACGTGTAATTCGTCACCAACCCGACATTCGATGATCAGAGCTCATCCAGTTGCTAGTGGCACCGTGCTGTGGTAGCAAATCTTTGAAGTCCTGATGCCCTTCAAGCACTAGCAGCATCATTGTCGCTATTGTCGCGCCAGATTGCGAGTCATAGCCCGACTCGCAAGATTTCTCGCGTCCTGAAGCAGAATGGACCCTGACTCCGTGTGAACTTACGATAGCACCCCAAACTTGCCGCCTAGGCGCATCAAGGGATCCTTGGCTTGATCGGCAGCACCGCATAGTAAAACACTAGGCGAGTTCGTCCAACAAGAGGTTCCTAAACCGTCGACTTGCAACTTCATCAATCGTCGCAGCCGCTATGGACAATTTCACGACCATCGCCGAATGCGAGGGGTCTTTTGGCCCCGCTGCAACCGCATGTAGCGATCGATTTGACTTCACCCTACTCTTCGAACAATCTATCATGAACATTGGTCCGTCTACAGTATTGCTTCTGGCCCTCCCTTTCCGGCTACAGCAGCTTCTTCATCAACGCCGCAAAGTCCTACGACATCCCTTGAATGTCGCAAAGATCGCCATCTGCATCGTCTTTGGTGGACTTCAGATCGCCTTGCTCGCGCTATGGACGCAAACACCGCTCTCCAACCGCGTCTCTATCGCTGCCGCAGTCCTCGGCGTTCTAGACGCCTTGGTCCTCACTCTCCTCAGCCATGCAGAACATCTCCGATCCATTCGACCGTCCACCACGATCTGTGTCTACCTGGCGTTCTCGCTCATCTTTGACGCCGTACAATGCCGCACACTATGGCTGCTTCCCGGATTGCACAACTTGGCCAGCGTCTCCTGCGCAGCGCTGGCAATGAAGTTGACGATGTTTCTTCTCGAAGTGCAAGGCAAACGCACATTCCTCCTCGCTGCTCTGCGCCACTTGAGCCCCGAGGCCACGAGCGGCATCATCGGCCGCGGTTTCTTTTGGTGGCTCAACAGCCTGCTAGGGAAAGGATTCAAGGCCACCTTATCTCCGTCGACACTCTACGACATAGATGATGATATGCGGTCCGCGCCCCTGCTCCAGAACCTCAACACCGCGTGGAATGAACGAAGAGGGCATGGGAAGCGGGCCCTATTACGCTCGATCTTCAGCACGACGAAGATGGCTTTTTTGGTAACAGCGGTACCCAGACTCTTCCTGATTGGATTTAAGTTCTCGCAACCGTTTCTCATCAACCGAATCATCAAATACGTCGATGGGGACCGCGGATCTGATTCCAAATCTGTTGGGTACGGTTTGATAGCTGCAACGGGCCTAGTCTACCTGGGCAATGCGGTGGGTTACAGTGAAGCTGCTCGGTTGTAGTTCTCTCCGCTGATACGGCTCGTCTTGTGTTAGTTGTCGACAGGCTTCTATCAGCACAAGCTCTTCCGTTATATCACGATAATCCGTGGATCTTTGGTTTCCCTCATCATGTCCAATAACCTCGAGTTAGACACAGCGAAGGCCAGCGATCCGTCTGCGCCATTGACCTTGGTCAGCACCGACGTGAGAACCATTTGCAGGTCGTTCGAAACGATTCATGAGGTGTGGGCAAATCCCATCGAGATAGGCATTGCCATATGGCTACTTCAAAGACAGCTTGGTCTTGGAAGCGTTGGACCGGCTGTAACCATTATCGGTAAGCAACTGTTTCGAACTGAAGTATGATGCTTTTGATCTAACATCGACTTGAGCTTGCACAATTGGTATGGCGAGGTTGTCGAAACTTATGCCTCGAGCCTCGAAGATTTGGAACGAAGAAATCCAAAAGCGCATTACAGTCACTTCAGAAGTTCTTAGTGCAATTAAGGAGTCGAAGATGCTAGGAATGGTAGACTTCCTTCAGCGTGCGATTCAAGACCTGAGAGTGGCAGAGCTGCGCAGAGCGAAGCAGTATCGCCGATTCATCACTTATATGAACATGCTCGGTAAGCTTGAGGTTCTTAACCTCTTTATATCACAAGCTGACACCTCGCTATCCAGGCAACGCCCCATCAATGATCGGTCCTGTTGTCACGTTTGGCCTTGCCATCCTTGCGCAGAAGATCAACGCCGGGTTGTCACTCTCTATCGCCACTGTCTTCACTTCTCTGACCATCATTGACTTAATTGCTGGGCCTCTTGCGCAGCTCATCACCTCGGTACCGAGCTTAGTAGCATCTTTGGGAAGTTTTGAGAGGATTCAAGCCTTCCTTGAACAGGGTAGGCCATCAACGGTCGCAGATCCTGATTCTCTTGAAGCTGCAAGCCACTCTGACGACCTTGGGCATGCCGGAACTGATCATGGCATAGAGATGGGTACGATACGGCCGAAAACGTCGTCCGAGCCATCTTCCGAGCAGAGAGATATCGCGACAGTTCAAAACGGTTCGTTCAGGCTCAAGGCTGACGAGGAACCCATTCTGCGCGATATCAACCTCCACATTGCCCCTTCCACCATGACTACCGTGATTGGCAGAATTGGCTCGGGGAAGACCACCCTTCTTCGGGGACTCCTCGGCGAACTTCCGACTAGCGGATCGGTCAAGACTCTTGAAGGTCCTGTAGCGTATTGTGCTCAGACAACCTGGCTGACGACAGCAACCGTCAAGGAAAATATTCTCGGTGAGACACCGACTGATGAGGACTGGTACGAAAGGGTGGTACATGCTTGCGCTCTCGTACCCGACTTCTCTCAGCTAGCAAACGGAGATCACACAGTGGTTGGAAGCAAAGGCCAATCCCTGAGCGGAGGTCAAAAGCAACGGGTTGTAAGTTAATATTCTTCATCTTGCTGTCAATCGTGCATAATCGCTCACTGGCTTTGACAGGCTCTGGCGCGAGCAGTATTCTCTAGAAAGCCTGTTCTAGTTGTTGATGATGCGTTGAGTGGGCTGGACAACGCAACCCAGACTCATATCTGGGACTGTCTTTTCAGTCCACGAGGACTTGTCCGCCAATATGGGGCAACCGTGATCCTAACAACACACTCACGTAAGTGGAAACTCATATATCCCCGGCAAGATTTCACAAGATAGGCTTTGTACTCATACTGTCTGCAGTGAGATATCTCAAATTTACGGATCAAATCCTCATCCTGGGCGATGACGGACGTATTGCCAGCCAAGGCAATTTTGACACTATTCGGGAGAGCGCCTATCTTCAGAGCCTTTCTTTCGAGAATGCGCAGCCCAGTGATGCAAGGGACACTGAGACTATTTCAGTCGCAGGATTTCGACAGCAAAGTCAACCACAAACCAAAGGGGTAGAGGCTGAATCAGAGCAGGACCTCTTGAGAAAGGCGGGCGACACTACCCTCTACTGGTACTACCTGAAGTCCATCGGTTGGTGGTATGGCTCTGCCGGTGCGATATCCTTGATTCTTGACTGCTTCTTCCGAGTCTTCCCTCGTAAGTTCATGTTCCCTTCAAATAATTATATCGACTATGGTTTCTGACCTCTGATAGAAATTTGGCTCAAGATCTGGACGGAGGAGGACGCAAGGACCGGTTCATCAGACACAGGCTTCTACTTCGGAGTCTACTCTGCGATTTCTGTCGTGGGCTTGTTTGTTATTGGCGTCAATATCTGGTACATTGCCAAAGCATATTCCTGCCGACTGATAATCCCGGCTCTGCTAACAGAAGCCTACAGGATCATGTTTGTTCTGATCGTGCCTAAGTCTTCTCAAAGCTTGCACTGGACACTTCTCCAGTCTGTCATGAGGCGGGTCACACTTTGCCAAACCGTGGTGCACATCGTTGCTTACTACTTTACAGGGCCCCGCTGTCGTTCTTTGGATCGACAGACACCGGCGACTTGATCAACAGGTAAGTCAACATACCCACTTCCTGGCACCCCCCTGTTTCTGGCACCACAAAAACGATGGGATCACAACCCAACCTCCTCATTACTATTAACTATTGATCCTCAACCACACCCACTACAATACAGCTGCCAGCCTCACTAGGGCATTCAGAGTCGCTGGATTCAGCCGTGATAACCTCCTTTTCACCCGCTTCGATTTGAGCCCGATGGATATCCCTGATGTTCGCGAACTTCGTATTGGGATCG